CTAAGATCAACGGTGGGAAAGTGATTAAAGTGGAGGCGCACCCTATTCCGGAGCACCCGCGGCCGGTTAGGGTTCGTGGACGCGTGGCGCTCGTAGGAGACGCCGCGGGGTACGTGACCAAGTGTTCGGGTGAGGGTATTTATTTTGCGGCGAAATCGGGTCGCCTGTGCGGAAACGCTGTCGTAAAAGCTTCGGAGGGTGGTGAGAGGATGATCTACGAGTGTGATCTTCGGAGGGAGTACCTGAAACCGTGGGACGCGGAGTACGTAACCACGTTTAGGTTTTTGGATCTGTTGCAGCGGGTTTTCTACGGTAGTAACGCGTGCAGGGAGGCTCTGGTGGAGCTGTGTGGGGACGAGTACGTGCAACGCATGACGTTTGAGAGCTATTTGTATAAGAAGTTGGCGCATGGCAGTGTGCGCGATGATGTTAAGCTTTTCATGAACAGCGTTGGCAGCTTGATGAGGTCCAGAATTGTGGGAACACGCATGGACAGTTTGATACTGTGATTTTTTAATGTGTATTTCTTTGTATTATTATTATGTGACCTTCGAACAGAGGCACATTTTAGTTTGAAGCAATGAAAATGTTTTCATCAAATACCACATAAGTGCAGTATCCACTGTTTTACTTATTCATGTCATAATTCAAGGACTCATTTGTCCATCCAAATCACGCATCGAAGACACTGTCCTTCAATCAATAAATCAAAAGCTTTGTTGATATCCTTGAACTCCACCTCGTGTGTGACAAACCCATCCAAATTCAGTTCCTGTTGATAATTGCAGATGTTGTTTATAGAGGGGACACACAGCAATAGCATAGACTAAAAAGAATTAAGTAAAAGAAATTGTGCACAGTACCTTGTCCATGTAGCGTTTAAGGAGAATGGGTACATGAGACTTAGGTTTGAGTCCTCCAAATAAGCATCCCATGAGGCTCTTTCCACTAATGAGTACCTCACTACAGCTAAGGCTTAACTTGGATCCTGGCTTGTCCACTCCCAAAACTATTGTCTTTCCCCAACCCTGTACACAAACCATTAGTTCAACGATAGCATTAATAAAGTATGCATCAAGTAAGAATTTAATATCGGAAATTGCAATCAAGTCTAACTCAATTTAACGGAAACTTCATTTTCAAGAAGTGCTAGGAAGGGCAAATTAGTTGGCACAAAATAAAACCATACTATTTTAGTGGATTTTCAAACTTTATGCTAGGGTGATCGATGAAAATCATGTTGTAGTTATTGCTACAATATAATCACATATTTCTGTCTGCCACTAAACCATAGTGTAGAGCATGTTTGGGCGCATTTTGAGAGAGAGAGAGAGAGAGAGGGACCTTTCTACAAGAAGCGTAAGCTTCATGCATCAATGATGCCATACCAGCACATTCAAAGCAATAATCTGCTCCCCCACCAGTCATCTCTATGATAACCTGCTCCACAACCGCACATGAGAAGGAAATTTAAGGACTTGAGGCAATTAAATTAAATAAAGATTGGAGCCTAGAAGATGGTAGACCTTGCTCACAGATTTATTTTCACTTTCTCCACCATGGACAAAGTCAGTGAGTCCAAATTTTTTTCCTTAAAAAAACACAGGAACAAACCCATAAAACCAATTACATAGTTTAAGCACAAACAAATTTATTTGTCTAAATGCTTGATTTGATATTATTAAGTAGACAATGAATTACCAATTTCATATTTTTCTGGGTTGACATCCACACCTATGATCTTAGTTGCTCCACAAAGTCTAGCTCCCTCAGCAACCTAGGAAACCAATCACTTGCAATGAGAGTTTTAGTATAATAAACCACAAAATACTGACAGAAAACATAGATATGTGGATTCCATACTGCTAATCCAATACTTCCCAGTCCAAAAATAGCAACTGTAGACCCTGGCTCCACACCTGCTGTTCTCCAAGCAGCACCTACCCCTAAAAGTGGAAGTGGAATCAAAATATTGAATTAGATGAATGATGTTCAGTAGTAAAATTAAAATATTAAAACAACCTTGTATTTATTTATGATCAGATACTCTGACCATAATATATATTGTATTATATAATTGATATAGAGTCTGTTTATATATAAATTATAAGTATTTTTTAGAGTTTCTCTATTGAAAATAAATAGTATTTTCCATTAAAAAACTCGTAAATGCGATTTTAATCTTGTTTCCAAACAAGCTTATAGTAATATAGTTCTTTATTCTTTTATTTAGTGTTTGCATTGTTTAGGCAAATTACCTGCTGATATACCACAACTGATCAGGCATGCTCTGTTGGGTGGTATTGCTGGATCAATCTTGACTAAATTGGCAATGTCCACCACAGTGTACTCGCTAAAACTAGAAACTGACAGGAAATGGTGTATGATCTCTCCTTTTGAATCTGTGAATCTAGATGTGCCATATCTAGGCATCCAAGGAGACACCTCGAAAGGAAATTTTGAACAAAGGTTGCTCTTGCTTGATTTGCAATCTATACACTCTCCACAATCAGGTAAGAAAATTGGAACAACAACATCTCCTTTTGTAACTTCAATTACATCCTCTCCAACGCTTTCCACAACCCTAGTAGACCATATTAAAAAGGGTTGGAATTTATCATCAACTCCTATGGATTAAATTAAAATATATGAACAACTAGAAGCCATACAAGGGGGCTTAATGTATTGAGATAAACGGGGCAAAAATATTTTGTCGAACTCTTGTCACTGAATAACAGGTTTATATATATCTTTTGTAAAACTAAAATCTGTCTCAAAGGTCTCAAAGGCCATAGTTATTCATTATTCCCCCTAAAAGATGTATCAAGAAAATTAACTACTCTTGAGGTCATGAGGTGTCTCTTCACAACTTAAGTACATATGTAACACAGAATAAGTTGAAATTAAACGAAAAGGCACCAAAACTTAGGGTAGGAGCTATATTTGTGAGGAGTAATATAAGGACCACAATATAATTTCAGTAGATATATAATTAAAGCGCCAAATTTTACCAAAATAAAAGGGGAAAGTTTATGTTTATACAGATTTATCATACAAAGAACTGAAACAAGGCAGTAATATATAGTGGAAATCCTTTTTGAGGGGAATGAAAAAGGAGCAAAATAAAATGCATAAAATTCACCCTATTGCCTCGTGACCCAGAATTCTTGGATAAATGGCAGGATGGACCTTCAAAACAGAGAAAAGAATGTCAATTGGTCTGAGAAAACTGTTTGAAATTATAAAAAAAAATGATATGAAGAAAACAAAAATGGTGGGAACCCGCATGTTCCGAAAACTGATATCGGTTTGACAGAGAGAGGAACATATAATACGAATGCGAGCTTCACCAGGCATTGGTGGCGCCACAATGATCTCTTCAATGCTCAATGGTTCACCTGCTTTGCGACAAATCGCCGCTACAATTTGCAAACAAAACAGAACAGATAGTGTTCATATGAAACATGATACAATGCATGAATTCAACTAAGAAAGACTTTAAAAGAGACAAAAAAAGAGAAAAAGAAAAAGGTAGAGCAGATAAGGTTTCACACCTTTACATCTTATGGGTTGTCCTTCGGTTGTTGTTGATGATTTATGTTCCATGGTGATCCAAAACACAAGATGAGTGAATGCAAGGTGTTGGTGTTAGTGTGGAGAGGATTTGGGAGCTAATGTATGAAATATAAGAGAAAAATGAGCAAAGTTGAGTGAAAGTGAATATAGGAAAATGAAAGAATGAGAATTGGACAAACCAAGCACACCGACATTTTTGCTTCCCTTGAAGCTATCATTTAAATTAAGTGGGTCACTCTCACCCTCACCCACCTAAGCTTCAACTCAGAAGTCAGAACATTATGCATGTTATCCAAAACCAAGTTACTAACTCTAATGGTTGAAAATTGAATAATTCTAGAGTGACTACTACTATTATTATAGGATATATTCTATTTTCTTACTATTTATTTTCTAAAAGATCATGGATTATGAGACATGATCATCTTAATCTTTTTTTTCCACTAAAGATTCATTTTCCTACTTTTTCATACTCTTTGGATTTGATTATTTTGAAGAAGAAAAAAAAAATTCTCCTCAAAAACCTTTTAATAATTTTTTTTACTGGTTTGACAGAATTTTTTAATAAGTTGAAAAACGATTCTTCCTTTAAAATAAGCTGACTAAAATATGCATTAACATCACATATTATATAAACTTACGTTTTTTCAAAATAAATTAATTAATTATTAATGTTTGTTACGATGTCCTTTTTATTTGTTACCTTTTCAATTCTTTCGATATTCAATAATTTTTTATTTATTTTTTAAGTATGGGATAGAATTTTAGAACATTATTTTTTTAAATAAACTTTTTTAATATATTATTTGTTTGTATTTTTTTTTTTTATTAAAAAAGTTATTAGAATGAAAAGAATGACATATTGGGATGATTAACAAAGACTCGTATATTATATAAACTTGCGTTTTTTTTTAATAAATAAACTTATGTTTGTAACGATGTAAATTACTCAGTCATTTTATGTGTTGGCTTCCCAATTGTTTCAATATTCAATAATTTTTATTTTTTTATTTTTAAAAGTGAGGGATAGAATTTTAGAACTTTATTTTTTTAAATAGAATTTTTTTAATATATTATTTGTGCTTGTATTTTTATTTTTATTTTTTATAAAAAAGTTATTAGAATGAATAGACACTCCCCTGTGGACGTCAATGACATGTCGAGATTATTACCAGAGACTCACCTAATTAATTACTGCATGACAATAACATAAATATCTTAAAAAATATAAATAAATGGTATTTTGGTCATTTAGTGTATAAAATTGTTCTTTTTCTTTCTTTCTTTCTTTTTTTCTCATTTTGGGTGGAGGGCTAACATTTAATTTGTTTCATCGAGTGAAAATAGTTGGAAAATGGAAAAAATGAAGAAAGAATAGATGAGAAATGAGAAATTGAAGTTGTTCGACATAAAATAACTAAAAAAGTTCTTAATAAAAGAAACCACAGTATGCTCACTTTTTTTATTTTCTTATTGAAGCATTATCATCTGTCTCTAGCATGTAAACTTTAATCCTACTGCGCATCAATTGCTTTTAAATTGAATATATTTTCTTCAAATACAAAATAAGAGCACCATGCAGCAGTTTACTTATTGATGTCACAATTCAAGATCTCAAAGCAACAACTATGACTCATTTGTCCATCCAAATCACACATCGAAGACACTGTCCTTCAATCAATAAATCAAAAGCTTTATTGATATCCTGAAAGTCCACCTCATGAGTCACAAATTCATCCAAATTCAGTTCCTGTTGGTAGTTGCAGATAAAACTTTATCAAAAATAAGCATCCCTATTATTATTTTTTTACATAAATATTGCTATTACTAATACAAAGAGTATAGACTAGAAAAAAAATAATGTAAAAGAAATTGCACACAGTACCTTGTCCATGTAGCGTTTAAGGAGAATGGGTACATGAGACTTAGGTTTGAGTCCTCCAAATAAGCATCCCATGAGGCTCTTTCCACTAATGAGTACCTCACTACAGCTAAGGCTTAACTTGGATCCTGGCTTGTCCACTCCCAAAACTATTGTCTTTCCCCAACCCTGTACACAAACCATGAGCTCAACGATAGCATTCAACAAAGTATGCATCAATTAAGAATTAATAGTGGAAATTTCAATCAAGCAACTCAATTTGAAAGGAAACTTCACTTTAATGAAATACTAGGAATTGAAATGCAAATTAGTTAAGACCAAAGAATATTATTAGTACTAATTTTAGTGGAGTTTCAAGTTTTGTGCTAGGATGATAGTTGAAAATATATCGTAGTGATTGCTTTAATCGCGTTATTCTGTTTACATATAAACCATTGTGGCATTGTGCAAGACATTTGTGGGTGCACTTTGAGAGAGGGAGAGAGACCTTTCTGCAAGAAGCATATGCTTCTTGCACCAATGATGCCATACCAACACATTCGAAGCAATAATCTGCTCCCCCACCAGTCATCTCTATGATAACCTGCTTCACAATTGCACATGAAGAAGGACATTTCAGGACCTTAGGCTATTAAATTAAATAAAGATTGGAGCCTAGAAGAGGGTAGACCTGGCTCACAGATTTGTTTTCACTTTCTCCACCATGGACAAAGTCTGTGAGTCCAAACTTTTTTCCTGAGTAAATCATAGGAACAAACAACAAAACCATAAAACAAATTACATAATTTGAGCACAAACAAATTTATTTAACCATTATTGTTTGATATTATGAAGTAGACAATGCATTACCAATTTCATATTTTTCTGGGTTGACATCCACACCTATAATCTTAGTTGCTCCACAAAGTCTAGCTCCCTCAGCCACCTAGGAAACCAATCACTTCCAATGAGTGTTTCAATATAATAAACCACAAAATACTAAAAGAAAACACAACATTGTGAACTTCGTACTGCTAATCCAATACTTCCTAGTCCAAAAATTGCTACTGAAGACCCTGGCTTCACACCTGCTGTTCTCCAAGCAGCACCTACCCCTATAAGTAGAATTATATGAATGTTGTTGAATCAAAAATCAAAATATTGAATTAGATGAATGTTGTTCAGTAGCGAATTAAAATGAAAAAACAACCTTGTATTTATTTATGATAAGATATGCTGACCATAGTTTATATTATGCAACTGATGTAGTTTTTTTATATTCTATTATTTATTGCTTGTAATTTTGCATGGTTTAGGCAAATTACCAGTTGATACACCACAACTAAGTAGGCATGCCCTGTTGGGTGGTATTGTGGGATCAATCTTGGTTAGATTGGCAATGTCAACCACAGTGTACTCGCTAAAACTAGAAACAAACAGGAAATGATGTATGGTCTCTCCTTTTAAATCCGTGAATCTAGAAGTAGCATATCTAGGCATCCAAGGAGACACATTGAACTCAAACTTTGAACAAAGGTTGCTGTTGCTTGATTTGCAATCAACACATTCACCACAATCAGGTAAGAAAATTGGGACAACCACATCTCCTTTTGTAACTTCACTTACATCCTCTCCTACACTTTCCACAATCCTGATAGATCATACAAAAATGTCACATGCAGAAGAAATTCAAGGTGGCGAATCGTTGCCAACCAATAAATATGGCAAGGATAAATATAATCAGTGGTAGAATTTGTTCTCAAATCAATGTTCAGATTACTGTAGTTAAATCATCTCAAAATTGAAACATTAAAATCTCCCTCATAGCCTTCCAATTCTTTCTCTAAGGATTGAATTTAGAAAATTAACTATTCTCAAGAGTAAGACTAACTGATAGAAATAATAAATCTCAAAGATGAAGGTTACTATTACAATAAGGACTTTACCCTTGTTTAAGTGTATTATTCCTTTTTATGTAATTAATCTCTAAGCATTTATAATTGACATTATATTCATTTAATATATTTTATTTAAGAAGTTATGTAATAATTATGTGTGAATCTACCATAAGTAAAGAACTAACTCATGTAGTTTATGCCGCAAAGTAGAATCTCTATTTCTCTGTATTCTTCTCTTTATTTTCTAACAAGTACAAGTAATCAAACAAAAAGGAGTAGAAACTAGAATCCACATATGTAAGAACTAGGAGTACGGACAACAATAATGTTTGACAAAACATTACATATTCAAGTACAAAAGTTTACCTAAAAGCCAAAGTGCAAAAGTTTGTGTTGATACGAAAGACCTTACAAATCAACAGTAGAAACAGGGTATTGATAAACAGTGGATTCCTTTTTCCTTATAATTCAGAAATATTATTTTGTAAATAAAATTATGAAACTAAAAATAGTAAAATGCATACGCTCACCCAACAGCCTCATGACCCAGAATTCTTGGACAAATTGCAGGAGGGACCTTCAAACAGAAAATTCTTTAAAAAAATCATTAAGAAGTTCCACTGAGGCAAAATAAAAGAAAAATATTTGAAACGAATGAAAGATTAAAAAAAAAATGACGTTAACCTGCATCTTCCAAAAAGTAATATCACTGTGACATAGAGAGGTGCATATGACACGAATCCGAACTTCACGAGGCATTGGTGGCGCCACAATGATCTCTTCAATGCTCAATGGTTCACCCGCTTTGCGACAAACCGCCGCTACAGTTTGCAAATAAAGAACAACAAATAGTACTTATACATACATAAATACATAATGAATAATTGAATATCAACATCAAATTAATGGCTAAGGCTAAGAAAACTATTTGAAAAAATAAAAATAAAAAGAAGCAGAAAAAAGTTTATTTTCACCTTTACATCTTATGGGTTGTCCTTCACTTGTTGCTGCTACTTTATCTTCCATGGTGATCCTAAGCACAAGATGAGTCAATGCACCGAGTTAGTAGCTTCTGTGGAGCTGACCTATGAAATATGTGTAAACTTTGGATGAAATCAAAGATAAGAATCATTATATGATATTATATTTTGAAGTTTGGATTAAGGGTATATTGAAAGGTTAGATGGAGACTAATGAACCAAAGATTGCGACATTTTTACTTCCCTATGGCTATGAAGATGCCAAATCCTTCGGTATTATCATATCATTTATACACCGTGGATGTAAAAATTTTTACACTGACAACCAATCATATCTTTTAATAGTGTCATGTCAGTTACTTATTTAATGAAATAATAATAAAATAAGCAATTTTAAAAGATATGATTGGTTGCCAGTGTAAAAAATTTTACACTGACAATATATAGATAATT